AGTCTCACAACTTGGAGTGAGGTGCCATATCTCACCACCCCTCTTGGTTTGAAATGTCAGACAATTCCAGCAGGATCTCAAAGTAAAACTTCTGTCTTCATGGGTAGTACTTGCTATTGGTCAACTGGACCAGGAGGAAAAGGCAAAAGAAAGATACTGAAGTACAAAGCAAAACAAGGATACATTATATTAATCATGTGGAAATGTTAACTAAAGTACTTTGCTTTCATATATTCATAGTCTATGTTCGTGCTGCGTATTTAGACTAAGCGAGTCAGGAGCACCCACTGCTGTGCACCAGTTTCAGCTGAAGACTGCAGGAGCAAAAACCATATTTTGCTGATGTCAGTCATCAGAACTCTGTTTTTCACTTGAAAATATAGTGCGTACCCTACCAACATAAACAACATAGAAATGCTGAGGGTCATGACCTGGGACCCCTTCCCCCTGCATGGCAAGGCGAGCATCTCACCTGTGAGCAAGTGACTTCATAACACGGGTGCATTCCTGATTGCAAGTAATCTCATGCGTGTGCCTGTGCCCATTGCTTGAATTTAGGTTGTCCATGGTATAATAGAGGTTGCCTGCAGCTGGGCTGCAAAATAGAGAAGGAGCTGTTAGACCCTGTCAGAAGGCTGGAAGCCGCTTCTTTCTTCTGTCTAAAGTGCTATCAGGAAAGGCAGCAGCAGGCATGCCTAAGGTCAGACACTGTTCTGTGGGGCTGATCCAGCTTGTAGACTATAGTTTAGCCTCTAACTGTTCTGTTTCATTTATTAGCCTACTAAGTTATGCTTGTATCTATGCTTGTATCTTATTCTATTACTTCTGAGTTCAGCTGCATGCTTAGGGGAAAAAAAGTGGATCTAGGGATTCTGCACATAAGAATCAGGCACATTATTTCATTCTTATAGAATATTTTTTCCTGGTATTCTAAGTGGGTTCCCACAGAGTCAGCTAGTGTGTCCAGGTGATTGTTGTTATCACAAGGTCTTTTTATTAAAAAAAAATCCACACTGCCATGCAGATAGCTAGTGCAGCATTTATTATAATCATTGCCTTTCCAGTTATGCATGTATGAAATGTTTACACAATTTGCTTCAAGAATTTCTTGTTTTGCAAGTTCACACAAAACACCAGGAATGGCTCACTTAAATCATACATCAAAAGGCCAATGGTGGTAACGGATGAATGTTTTTACAGACCTAGCCAGGGACAAACTCAGCGAACAGCAGCTTGGAACAGAGCAGATGCAGCTCAGATGGGAGTCTCTGGGAAAAGTTCACAGATTATGTTTGTGGGAGGATAAGTCACAGATGGAGTTCAGTTCTGCAGAGGGCATGTGCCGAATGCTGGAACCACAGGTGCTAAAATGTAATGCTCAATACTGGGTGTGCTTGCCCATTTATATTTCTGTTTGTGAGAACACTATTGGATAGCTACCAAATAACTGTCCCTTCCTAACGAGGTGGGGTCCTTCCACGTGAGGCAGTCAGTCCCCCCTGTCACATGTCGTTCCTTTCATATACAATAAGACTTTGGAGGGTAGAATCAGATGTAACATATATATCATTCCAGGCAAAGCAGAAACCAGCAGCTGAAGTGTTGAAGACAACGTTTTAAAAATATTTAATAGTTGAATTTTGAAGGCCCAACTTTCAAAGGCACATAAAATTGAGGTTGCAAAGTTACTAGGTTTTTCAAAACCACCTAATTTATCAAATTCATAGTGAAAATTAGGAACCTGGGCGCTTCTGAGAATCTTGCTGCCTATGTTAGGTGCTGAAGTTCTTTAAACATCTCTCCTTAGGTGAACTAGGAGCTAAAGTGATACTGGCTTTCACAAGAGCTTACACTTCAAGATCACTTAGATGATGCCAGATGACCATAAAAAAGGCCAAAGATAATTTTCCATGTTTTTAGCAGAATATATTAAGAAGCCTAAAAAGCATGTCACTGTATTTATACTGAGTTACTGTTTGGGTAGGTACTGTGGGGAAAAAGTTTGACTCATGCAGGTTGTATTATCTGTATTTTCAGTTTGCTGCCTTTTGTTTTTTCGCTTTCACTCTTCTGTTTTACGTTGAACTTAATTTATGTACAATATTTCAAAATTTTCAGTAGATTCAATTTTTAAATGGGCATTCAGTTATCATGCACTGAACATACTTCTAAGATCATATTTGTTTCAAGATAGAGCTGAAGAGTCAAGTACTCTTTAGATCACAGCAACTGTCTTATCTAAACCTGAGTCCAATGGAAATCAAGCGGAAACCTACATGTAGATGAGCTCCTCAATGGTACCAGTTTTTAGAGATTCCTTAAGTCTTCCTAAGTTGAAAAAACCTGTTCAGTTGGTACAAGAGTTCAAACCAAATACAGACTGTTATCATTTGCAGTCATCTGGAAAGGAAAATGCTCTTAATGCAATGTGAGTAAAGGATATTCCGTTGAGTTTTCTTGCTTTGAGCTACTGTAGCTTGTTTACCTTCCCCAAAGAAAGTATGTGAAATCTTCAACAGACAAAGTCAAACCTTCAGAGAAATTTAAGATAAGACTTACGTTGTTAGAATAATTTGGTGTGTTTCACTAAAACTTAACATTTTAATTGTAAGAACTCCTGGATCCTGCTTCTATTTTTTTCTCCCATGTACTAAAGTGAGAAGCATTAGACTTCTAAGGCATTTATACTGTGAAAGTCAAAAGAAAACTATCCAACAGGTCAAGGCATGGAAAATAGGAACAAACACCTGCTGCTTCTACATGTGGATAGATTTTTCACTTAAGTGGAAATCATTTAGCTGAAATCAAAGCACTGGTGGAAAGCGTATCAAAGCAGTTAAAACCAGAAAAGCTCATAGAAGTGTTTTATGAAAAAGCATGTAGCTTGAAGTGTTGAACTTTCACAGATAAATGTGCAGAATTAGTTAGCTATTTTTGTCTCTTTCATTTGCTAATCAATTTTCCCCACTACCAGCCTATGACAACTAGTAGGCCTGCACATTTGTTTCATATGGTCAAAGAATGTTTAACCCCCTACTGACCCTGTAGTGTTTGCTCTCCTTCCCTCAAGGCACGGAAGACTTTAAAGTAGAAAACTGATGAATGAAAAGAATTAATCTCTTGGGGGCTTTTGTCATGAAAGCTTGAAAAGGGATCAGAACAGTCTGACATGTTGACAGCTGAAGTCAAGAGGAAAATTATGATATAATACAGCAAGTCAAAAATGTTATGTGCCATCGTATCCAAAAGGCAAACAAAGTATACATGTTTCCTCATTTCTTTTTTGACTGCTTTTGCTACTGGTAACATCAGTAAATTCTGTACTGGAACCTCTTGAAAAAGATGAAGGGTATTCATGGCTGCTTTTTAAGAATGAGCTGTTGAGCTCCTCAAAGATGGGTGTAACATGTAAATGAGCTTCTTCCGACCCTTGTGTCTTATCCCTTTTACAGTCTATGATGATCTCTGATTGCTGTTACTGTTCTGGACAGTTTTGTTCATACTTTGTCTTCTAACTAGCTTACTTTGTTTGGAAGTTGTGAGGCTTTGGCTGGATAGATTTAAAATTTTCTCACTGAATACAGCATGGGCCAACTCCTTATGCCGATGGTGACATTGTTTGCTGTGTGATTTTTTTTAATATAGTCTTGCTCAGATACCTTTTCAGTTCTTTTTATCATTAATTTGAATTAGTCATTTGCCTAGCAATTCTAAAAGCAATCAGGACCAGAATGTGTTTGTAACTTAGATTGCAAGAGAGAGAAGGTTTGTATTTGCATTCAAAGATGACAGCCATATTCTTTCCTGTTGTCTTCATTTGAAGCTCTCGGAACGACCATTACTTCAAACAGAAATGTGCTGATAAACTACAGCAAAAATAACAAATTTTCAGTCCTCCTGTGCTTATTCCTTTTCATTCTGCTCAGCATGGAGAGCCAGGCACAGCCACAGCTATGCTCAACAGCTACTGGACAGTGATTGCAAACCCAGATATATTTTCACAGTGGTATTTTAAATCTGTGGCTGACTTTCTGGATAGCATAATTTTAGGAGTCTCCTGAGCTCCTAGCGAGCTTTGCCAGCTAGGGCAAACTGAGAGGCACTGCTTTGAGTTCCCAAATTGTATTACAGTGAGCCAAGAAGAATTTTTGCTTGTGATTCTGTTAGGGGATTTTCTATTTGCAGTAGAAGATGTGAAAATAGAGCCTATGTCATATCAACAACCGTACAGTCTGGTGGCGCACTGGACTGTGGAGTCTGTGCAGCTCCACGGCTGCATTGTATGCCCAGCACCATACACGCCAGAAGAGCTGGAGGTGATAGTGCCTGCTGTATGTATGTGTGAGTGACTGGGAGGGAGGTTATAGACCTATTGCTTCTCCTTCAAACCTGCCTCTTGGCTTACGTTATTGAACGTTACTGCTGGCCTTCTGGAAATGAAAGAGTGGTCAGTAACAGGCGGTGTCACCCGTGTAATTGCAAGGCAAGTCCTGAAGTGCGCGTTCTGGGAAGCGGTGGAAATACCGTCCCTGTCAATCGCACAGTGCTCGGAGGGGCAGCGGTGCCTGCTCGCGGTGGCACCCCTTGCTTTCAGCGGTGCTGTGCCAGCGGTGGCGTGGTGGCCAGCAGGTGTCCCCATTGTCCCAAACAAATCGAGATGACAATGTGTTTAGCTTAATCTAATTAAGTTTAAACCCTACTTAACAATAGGATTTGAGCAGCTCACTGTGAAGGAAGAAAGTTCAAAGCGCTCACATTTCTGCTCAAACGGTGACGCCTGCAACTGACACTGGTTGTCTTACCAGGGTAAGCAATGCTGCAAATCGCTGACAAAGGGAAGTACCTTGGAAATGAGAACAATGGAGAGTAAAAAGTGAATCTCCCAGACTAATACTAGGCTGAACTTGAAGACTAAAACATCCTTGAATATGTATACACAGACATATACTGAAAAAGGAAAAACTGAAATCAGGCAAACTGGGATAAGCTTTTCATTTTTCAGCTGAAAAGATTCCAGAGTTCAGCAGCTGAAATATAATCTTTGAATTTTCTAGATGGAAATGGAAAATTTTTACCTTCTAAAAATGGTTGAAGAGATGATACATATCTGCTTTTGAAGTACAATTTAACAACACTTTTCTAATTTGACTTTTTCTTGAGAAGCAAACTGTGTCGACCTAGATTATAGCCCTGCAATCATTCTCATGAAGAAAGGGGCAGCAAGTATGTCTATTGCCTTACAAGCCCAGTCCACACTCTGACCACATAGCACAGAGTCTAACCACCTCCCCTAATCATAGGGTGCGATGATGTAGGTAGCTCATATCATGCTGATTAAAACTGGTTTATAACCTCAGTTTTCTGTGTGGATGTAGAAGCACACTTTCAAGCTGTTAATGTTTGCTAACAAAATTAACTAAATTTTTTAGAGTTACTAAAGAGAAAAACTGCTGGTTTCCCCAGTGTGTTTAAGAGAAGTGTCTCCAGAAATGGAGCAGGTGATATTAGCAAATTGGAGTTTGCTAAAATGAGCCTCAAAACTTCAGGACTGTCATGATTTTCAACATTTTGTGATTCTTGATAAATGTGATATTCCCCTGTTTGAGATGGTGGCAGGTAAGTGCGAATACTGTAAAACAAACAAAAAAAGAACTTTGCGTTGTGTGGAAGACTGAGAGAGCAAAATCAAAATTATAAAGTTTTAAAGAGTAGAAAAAAGTCCCTGCTAGCTGCTGACTATGAAAAGACTTGTTAGATGTATGGCAGTTTGTATAAACTCTCGGGTTACCAGGCAGCATTTGCAGTAATTGTAGCAAAATTGTTCACGTAGCTGTGTGGGCACAAGTCATGGGACCATCTGGCCGATACGGAGTGAACTTGGAAGAGTCCCCAGGAGTCCTGAGTCTGAAACCTGGTTCTGTGTGAGCTATTAGTCCACTTCTTCATTCTGAGGACTGCAGAGTACGCCACAAGAGAGCCTCTATGTTCCTGTCAGTGCACTGAAGTGAGCTTGCGGTATGACCTGCAGAGTTCAACCACATGAAGCATTTATTTTCTGGACACCAGGTTAAAACTGGGAAGTCTAAAAGCAAGACGAACAGTAACTCCAAGTCAGCCCATCCAGTGAAGGCTGGCTGATTGAATTCAAGTCTCATTCCATTAAAAGAGAAGTTTTATGCTGAAAAGTGGAAGTGTTACCAAAAAAATACACACAAAGGTTAATCAGTCATTCTTGACTCACATACCTCCCAGGCCCATGATTCTAAGGCCTTTTGAGAGCCTTTCAACTCCTTTTCTTTCATCTAAGAACTAAACTATCCTTAGCAAGAGGATGATAACTCTTGGTTTCTTTTACCCATTTTTTAGAGCATGACTGGATGCTCATTTGGGTCCTATCCTCTCTGTGGAAATTCCACTGAGTTTAGTGAAAGTAGTTCACAAGAAGTGGCTGCAGGAGAAAAGATCCTGAAAGTTGGGTTGACCTGAGGTTAACAAATTGAAACTTAATGTCCACAAAAAGTCAGTGGGTTTGTTTGTGTATCCATAGTTACTCCCTAAGTATCATTCCAGTATTGTGCATTCTAAGTGCAACATGCAATAAGAGGAAAAAAGTTACTTTATCTGAGTCTTTGCTGCTTGAGGATACAAAGTTCTTTTGAAAATATCCAGAGTGGCTGATACAGTCTAGTGTTTGTTATTAGTGCAATAATTTTGTACATATCCCTTCTATTCAAGGAGACGCTTCAATAGATCCTTACAATAAGAAAGCCTAAAGTTAGAAGGAAAATTAGAAAATAAGATACAAAGAGCCAAACTCTGTTCTATGCTATTGCTTTTAGCTTTATCTAACTATTATAAGTATTCTAAGTTTTATCTGGGCTATAATGCTGCCTAAAATACTTTCAAAATGAGCCTTTAACTGTGAAAAGCATCTGCTTTGAGAAAAAAAATATAAATAGGCACAATCATATGATTAAAGTTGATCTTTTGGACACATCCCACTCTTACTTAAATGAATATCAGTCTTTTACTAAATTTAATGGAAGTTGTACAGAGTGTGGAATGCTGGATTCTCATGGAAACATGAGAACATACCAACCTGAGGTTTTTGAAAACTTTGAAAAATATATTTAACAATTAAATCTAGATATGTTGAGTTCAGAATCTGAAGACAGATGCCTTGAATGTCTTCCTTTCAGCTTCAGATAGTATGAACTTGCACATTCGTGGTCTTTTCACTGAATTGACTTCAATGAAATAGATTTCAGTAGAAAATGAAATAGATTTCAGTAGAATTGGTTTGAAGATCCATGTTGGGCTTAAGAATTTTGTATGTGATTCAGAGGTCAAGAGCAGAATTTTTCACAAAATTAAAAATTGTACTCTAAGTAGGTAATATGCTTGACACAACCATTGTTATGATGAAAGATCCTTAAAAACGTGGAGGTTCAGTGAAGTTCTTGAGGTTCACTGGAACATAAATTTGTCTCCTAAAATGACACTACTTTACATGCTTTTAAGTTTCCTTAATGATTTAAATTAATTCAGCTGTAGCTCAGGGTTGATCACATGTAAAGATAAAGAACATAGGAATGTACATATACTAATATTTACATTAAAGTTCATACATTTGCAACTTGGTAAGAATGTTAGCATTTACCCCAATTTGAGGTGAGAACACTGTGATCAAACTGGAGTTAATGGGATCAGATATTGGTCAATAATGTTTGGTTCTTCAATGTATGTTATCAAGATTAAAATATAAATGTATTTATATTAGCTGCAGCTAGGCCAGTTAGCTAAATATGAATTGAGTTGACATTTACTGATATATTGGGATAGTTGAAGCATAATTTAATAGTAACCAAATGCTAAAAATATCTAGCAGTTTATGGTCATGTTGCTGAAAAAGTACACATAACTGCCTGGAAGGTATATCACACAAATTATGTCTCATACATTTAAAGCAGAGCTATGGGTTTCTTGCATTAGCACTAAAATGATACTGACAAGTGCTGCTTTCCATCCAGAATTACTTAATATGTCTCTTCTTAACTAGTTGCAGTGTATATGAATCACACACTTCAGTCCTTAACTTCTGGAGTTCAGGCTATCATCTGTTATATTATCCTTCCTGTCTGAGTGTATTTGGCAAAGAAAATGAGCACTGCAAGTAAGAAAGTGATCCATTTTTTTTTCCCACTACTCTGGCCTCTACTTCAGTTGTATCATTCTCATTCTGTCAGGTGAGATCATTATTACATGTCTTGTCCTGGACAGTTATTCTCATTTGGGGTGTGTAGGTTTTGAAGCAATCAGTCAGAGGTCAGATTTGGTCAGGGTGGGACCATTTCCAAATTACTCCTGGAAAAGGTGGGACCAGTTCCTGAAGCAACATTCTGTGAATGGAAAAAATTATTTGGTAAAAAGCTGTAACATTTCACGGATCTTCTATACAGCAGCACTATGTAAGAAAGAGAGAACAGACAGACTAAAAAGTAGAAAGTGAACAAATATCTTAATGGGAGTTCATCAAAGTTAGCTCTTCATTTGGAATATTAAGTTGAAGTAAGTCTGACTTGCTTCTCAATACAATGACTTTCTGATTATGTGCTCAGAATTATGCTTCCATTACAGAGACTGTGTTAAATTATTCTTCACCAGATTGGACTAAATCACTGTCCTCAGTCCCTCATTGTGGAAGTTTGACATCAAACACAGCTCTGGGTCTGCCTTTTGCTCCTGGAAATCCATCTTGATCAATAACTCAAGCCTTAATTAAAGTAAATATAAAATAAGTGGAAGCCAAGTTAAAGCAATTTATCTTCCTTTGTCTTTATTATTTGCAGGACACAACTTGCTGTAATTAAGCAGCAAACACTAATACAAATAATAAATGGGAGATACCCAAGTTTAGAAGGAGTGCAGAACTATAAATTATGGAGGACACACTTCTCTGTGTGAAAGACAATTTGAAAGGTTTAAGTTTTCTGAAACAGGAGAGTTACTGAAATAACTTCAGTGAGTGCGCTTTCACTAGAGACTAGTAGTTACTAGTAATTGTGTTGCATATACACTTTAGACATTGACCTCATGTCTGAGACATTCAGCATACCAAAAGCTTGGTTGCTTAGCAGTGAATGCTAAGTGACATATTAAGTTCAACCAAATGTCAGTCATTGCAATGATGTCATGTTGTCCAAAACCCATTAATTACTTTGAAAATTCCCACAGTAACTGAAAATCTCAGATTATCTGCCTGAATTAATGGGGGCCCTGTAATTGAACGATGGATTGCATGCTGTTATGGTAGTATGTTAGGGTACTATGTGCTTTACATCTACATTTTGATAGGGAAATGAAGGTGGCAAATACTGGTTTTGATGATCTCTACTCATCTTAGAGTGACTGCCAATTTTAATATTATCATTAAAAGCGATGCCACTAATAATAAGAAATGTGAAAGGCCATACTCCCCACAGTACACCTTAGAAACTAGCATCCTGTATGAGTGATATGCACAGATTTTGGTGGAATTACATGGCTGATAGTTGGACAGTGTGTGCCAAAACCTCTCATTCCTGTTTTAGCAATGTTTGATATTCCAAGGGAGAGAAAAGGAGGTTAATTTTTTTAATA